AAACAAATTTTTGTACTTACTATTCCCAGTTCAAATTAAATCATCTTTTTTTTGCTTTTATCGATTATTAATCTATAGATCTATTGACGTAATTGGTAAATATATAGATTTTATTTTTATTTTCTATACCAATTTCAAAATAAATTGAATTAAAAATAAATACAATCTTGCATCCTAAATCACAACGCCAAGTTAATTTCGGAATGAGCAAGCACTTTTTTTATCATTTCATATTGTATTAAAGAAAATCTTGACCCTAAAAACTTTGGTCTCCGCCCTTGAATTTCTCTATTGCTATTGTCTATTTTTGTTCAAGGTGCCCGAGTAATATTTGTTTCTGGATCTGCCAGGTGATGGAGTGGTTGAGAGAAAGATTTCATCAACGTTGGGAAACAATGATATTTTTTTACAACAAATGAAAATGGTGTGAATAAAAAAAGTGTAGAGGTATTGGGGAGAGTTTTTTTTAACTCTCACTAATGAGAGTGCTCTATACATATGTCAAAGAGACAACCATTCCACAAATAGTATTTCAACGAGAACCATAAAGTCCATCACCACATGCCCGCGCATAATGAAACCAAACGCCTGTCTTCTTCCTATTGAAAAAGACTGGCCGAAAGGTCGCCTATCCCTTTGACATTTTAAGTTAAGTTTGTTTCCAATAAAATTGCCAAAAAAAAAACACACAGTGACTCCCTTCCCTATAAAATTATTATACCATTATTTTTTTTATTATTATTAGACAATAATACTAATATAGCTTATGGTAGAATTAGTTATGCTAGTGTTTGATTATAAGTCAATTTCTTATTCCTATTTAAGGTAGATGTTATGTTTTAGTTAGTTTCCATTCTCCATTTCTAATTGTGTTAGGAATCTCTCTTATATATACTTTATCATGTATTTCATAATTCAAGGAGCAATATTATTATTCCAATATGTCAACATGGTATCGAAGGCATCGCTCTTGGTGACCTAAAAGAGTTCTTTGCTTCCGTCGTCGCCGCCAGTAATTCCGGCGACGGCGACTCCACCCTATTCACCTCTATTTTCTTTTCTTTCTTTTATCCTCAAATCAACTTCTCCATTCAAATGAAAAAAAGAAAAGAAAAAACCCTATTGAAAGTTTGAAATCACACAAAAAAAACTATTAAAGGAAGAACTTCTCTCTTGTCATCTCCATGGTTCTTCAAAAAAAACATAACTCCTCGCAAACTCTCTAAAATCATCCTATCTTCTCAAAAAAAGGGAAAAAAAAAATGATTGTTGTTTCTCTCCAATTCATCATATATCAAAATCTCAGACTCAAATTTTTTTTCCATCACCAAATCACTCAGGGTCCGTTTGGTATACGGAATTGATGGAATTAAAATTTCATGGGATTCAATTCCATAGAATTGAATTCACCAATTCCAATTCATTTTTTGCACGACCAATTCCAAATTCACATAGCTTTTGTGCTACCAAACACAAAAATTGGAATTGAAGTCCTCAATTCCAATTCCATAGTTAGAATTCCGTATACCAAACGGGGCCTCATTCTAATCATCAACCTCCCTTCTCTTTCTCTTTTGTTGAACCAATAAAAATCTAACAAAAACAACACAAAAGCAAAGCCAAGAGGGAAGTAGTGAAAGAGCAAAGAATACCTCTACACCCCTTCAAGAAAGAAATCGGGCATTGCCCGGATCTAAGAAAAAGACAAAGAATATCAAAGATCTTCAGTCAAACAGGCACCTCCGGTAGCCTTCTAGATTCTTCTTTGACGTCAGCAGCAACAGGCGCACGTCAACCTTCTCTCTTCTTCTTAGACCTCAACAGCTACAAGCGCATGTCAATTGCTCTCTTCTTCAACGATGTCTGCAGCTACCAGTGCACATCAGACTTCTCTCTTCTCCAACGACGTGAGTAGCCACCGGCGCACGTTAGACTTCTCTCTTTTTTAATGACGTCAGCAGCCACTAGCATGCGTCAAACTTCTCTCTTCTCTAACGACGTCAGCAACCACCGACACACGTCACACTTTTTCTCTTCTCAAGGTTTCCAGTTTCTAGCTAGTGTTCAAGCTAAGCTTTTCAGCTTGAGCAGGGATATTAGACAATAATACTAATGTAACTTCTAGTAGAATTAGTTATGGTAGTGTTTGATTATAAGTTAATTTCCTATTCCTATGTTATGTTTTAGTTAGTTTCCATTCTCTATTTTTAATTGTGTTAGGAATCTCTCTTATATATATTTTATCATGTACTTCATAATTCAAGAAGCAATATTATTATTTCAATATTTCAACAATTTTTACCCCTATTAGAATGATATTTTTTTTATTAGTAACCCTATTAAAATGCAGTAATTGTTCATATATATTATTCTCAATCTACTAATGTAGAAAAAAGTAAGGGCCAACATAGGCGGATCCATTCTTATAGGAATGATGGGGCACTTGCCCCAATGATTTTTTAAAGAAATTTTAATTATTAGTATTTTTATCCCATTTTTTTAAAATATATAATAATAATAATGCTTCCACAAAAATATTTGTATGCCCCATTAATTAAGAAACCAAAATACCCCCATTAACTTTTTCATTTCGCATTTACTTAAAAAAAGGCCAAAGTATATTAAATTAATTTTTAATTGAAAACTAGTTTAGTACTCCGTACTTTATTTGTGTATAATTTTGATTGTTAAAATTCATTTATTCACTTAGTTGTAAATTAAATAATGTGTAGTAATTCATAATATTGAGATGAAATATAACATTGTCTTTGTGATTTAACATTATCTTTCGGTAAAAGTAAAACAATCGGGGGCGCTTTCCCCGAACCCTGCCCTATTCTTGCCCCAATCCCCGTATTTCTTGGATCCGCTATCGATGGCCCACTGGAATTTGACCTAAAAAATTTTATACTAGTTTCAAAGTTTTTATAAGTGTACTAAAAAAAATAAAAGTTTTTTTCCTGAGACTAGACAAATATTTTGAACTACATAACTATTCATAAAAATAAAATATGAGAAACGTTAACAAAAATATTACTCCTGGGTAACACATATTTTGTAAAAATAGCTTTCAGGTCCCTGTAATTTCAAAAAGGTAAGAGAGGTCCTTAAATTGTGTTGTAATGAATTGAAAGTGAAATTTCGTCTAATACTTCATCTATTGGTGTTAATAAATACCAAGTATGTTTTTCCAATTTTGCCCATAATGTTTTATGTAATACTCCGTAACTTTTAGGTCCCTCACTTATTAGTTTCTTTGTTTCTTTTTTTTGTTTCTATTTTTTTCATTGTTTCATTTTTCATAGTTTTTTTAAAAAAATTCTTCAAGAAAATAGTTTCAAAACTTCAAATTTTTATATTGATATAAAAATAAATGAAATAAAACCTTACCAAAAAAGAAAATTAGATCTTTTTTTATTTTTAATACTCCGTAGAATGTAGTAAAATAAGAACTTGAGGACTTTCTAGGGAAAAAGATTTCCTTTATTTTTCATTTTTTTAAAATTTTACTCAGCCTCTTCTTCTTTAGGAAATGTTTTTATTTCATGAATTTTTATATCATACAAAAAATCTTGAATTTTTTTATACAATATTATATAAGAATTTTTAAAAATAAGATTTAAAAAAAAGAGTAAAAAAAGAAAAAGAAAAACAAAGAAACCAAAAAGTGAGGGATTTAAGAATTATTACCATAAAAAATTAAGGAATTAAGGAAAAATATGAAAAAACACATTTCCTAACGCTTATGAATGAAATATTAGACGAAATATCCTCATTATTAATAAAATGTAAGGACCCCTTTAATCCTCTTTAAAATAGAAGGATTTGAGAATTATTTCGACAAAATCCGTGTTACTAGTGAGTAATTACTTAAAAATGTAAACACATTTTGATAGAAAAAGACAGTAAAACAAACATTTCTTTTTCTAGTGGAGGGCAAAGGGGGTGACTGGTGATTGGTGAATGTTTGAATTTTAGACCTAGGAAATCATTTTCTTTCGTAGACTTTTCCTCTTTAGCATAGAATCGTGAATACGATGCCATGTGGGTCCCTCTTTGAAAATTGTTAAATACTCCCCTATATTTAATACTCGGTATATATATTTATTTTAAGTATATTCAATGTATTTATTATCATATCATTGTATTATTGGTAGTTACTTTTGTATAGATTTCTTATCTCGTCTTTAAATACGGTTGTACTCCTATACCTTTAATTAATCGAAAATATTCATTCTTCAAAAATAAATGCAAAAATAAGACCCGTTTTCACCAAAATTAAAAGGAGCATGCTACGAGTACTCCAAAATTTGTACAACATTTGTACACCAAAGACATGTACTAACATTTTGATTGTTCACACTGACACAAAGTGTAGGTACATTAACAAAAATTTACATGGATACAAAATGTTGGTGCGTTAACAAAATTAACATTACACCAACATAAAATGTTGGTGCATCCCTGTGGTGTACAAAATGAGGTACAAATTCTTGGGGTACATGTAACATTATCCAAATTAAAATACTCCATCTCTCCCAAATTATAATGCATGTTTCTATTTGACGGGTCAAACTTCATTCACTTTCTTTTTCTCTTTTTGTTAGAAATTTGATAAAATAAAATATTATTGTCACTACAAGTTTTGTAGATCTTTTGATGTAGTATTTTAATATGTAATTTTTATTTTTTTAATTCTATACCATTTGTCATATAAAGTGATTTGAAAATAATTTCAGTCAAAAATCGTAAATATTCATTTTTCATGGTATTGAAGCATATTCCCAAAACCTAGTTTTCTCCCTCTGCTCTCGGCTCCTCCTCTCTCTCGGCGATCTCACCGCCGCAGCCCCCCCCCCCTCCATCTCTCTCTTGTCTTCTTCTTCCGATCATGGACTCTTCCGACAAAACGAGGGACAAATCTACCTCCTCCTCCTCCTCCAATTCCCCCACTTGGCGTTCACGGCCATATCCAATGCCAAGCTCCATGTTCCCATACAATTGAGCTTTTCTCAACCAAATTACAAAAAATGGTGTCGCCTCTTCTTGCTTGTTGTTCGTCGGTTTAATCTCCATGGGTTTCTCTCGGGATCCAAGATCCCCTCGTATGCCGACGATGATGAATGGTTTCAACTCGATGCATTGCTTCAAGGATGGATCCTCCTTACGGTGAGCGATGAGGTCTCCGACTTGGTTATCTCCTCTACTTCAACGGCCTCCGAACTCAGGTGGGTTATTCATGATCTCTTCCACGACAACAAAACCGCCGGGCTATGCAATTGGAACATCAATTCCTCACAACGGTTAAGGGATCCATGTCCATGGCCACATACTGCCAAACTCTCAGAAACATCGCAGATTGGCTAGACGACGTTGATGCCCCGGTCTCCGGATCACAACTCGTGCTCCAACTCTTGCGGGGTCTACCGGACAACCTTCAAGCCTAGACGTCTTGGATGCAAGCACCAACCCCCACCCCTACAGCCCTAGCTCACCACTTTGACACCATGACCCTACGAGAACCCACATGGCTTTTGGACACCGGGGCCTCTCATCACATTGTCTCCAACCCAGGTACTATTTCTCATGTTTCTTCTCAATCATTAAATTCACCTCTTCATATCATTGTAGGTAATGGATCTAGAGTTAGCACTACGGCTGTTGGTGTCCATTTTTTCCCCACTAACCTCCCTTTATCCCTTAAAATTGTCCTTATCTCCCCCCATATATATTTTCCACAACCTTATCTGTGTCGGACAATTTACCCATGACAATAACTGATCTATTGAATTTGATGCTCATGGTTTTTCTGTGAAGGATCTTCGGAAGGGAACCATGATACATCGATCCAATAATGATGGCTCTCTCTATCCTCTGCACCCCCTGCACTAGCCCAAGCACTCAGCGCGTCAGTTGACATCCAAACATGGCACCGGCGCCTAGGTCACCCTAGTTCAGTTGTCCTCCGTGGCGTCTCTAGTCTTTCTCATTTATTTAAACATTCAAGTCAAAGCTTGTGTCATGCGTGTCAATTGGGAAAACATGTTCATCTCCCATTTTATCAATTAATCCTGTCGTGTCTCTACTTTTCCGTTTAAATTATTACATACAGATTTATGGCAATCTCTCATACCAAGTGTTACTAATTTTAAGCATTACATGTTATCGTTGGATGATTACTCGCATTATTTATGGGTTTTTCCTTTAAAACAAAAATCTGATGCTTTTAATCACCTTAATTTTTTCACTAAATATGTTCAGAACCACTTTAACACCACCATTAAATCTGTTCAATGTGATAATGGTACAAAATATCGCAACTCCCCCCTTCAAAATATTTTTTGCCTCCTTAGGTATTTTATTTCGTTTCTCGTGTCCTCACACTTGCCAGCAAAAATGGCCAAGCGGAGCACACCATTCACACCATAAACAACATCATTCACACTCTTCTCTTCCAAGCCCAACTCCCACCCGAATTCAGGGTTGAAGCCCTGCACATGGCAGCCCACCTTTTCAATCTTCTTCCAACCACCACTCTCCACAACCAAACACCACACGCCCTTCTATTTAAAACCCCACCCACCTACTCCCACCTTTGTGTCTTCGGCATGCCTTTGCTATCCCAAAACCACTGTCATTGCCCCACACAAACTCACCCCACGCTCTGCTCGGTGCATTTTTCTAGGCTACCCCTCAAACCAACGCAGATATCGTTGTCTAGATCTTCAAACTAACAAAATTATTATTTCCCTCCATGTAGTGTTCGATGAGTCATCTTTCCCATTTTCCCACATCTCAAATCCCAATTATCTCACTTTTCTGGACACCACAGAGGACAAAATACCCAACCGACACCACCATCCCCACCCCGTTGCCACCCACTCGACCCAACCCAAAAACCCAGCAAACCCACACTGCCCAAATCCTCCCTCTCTATC